AAAAATGAGCAAAAGAATCTTAAATATTTTTACATCGATCGATAGCTCTGACTCTCCTCTACTCGGGAATTCGAAAATTTTTTCCAGGTTTGGAAATGGCTCCAATAATTAGAAAGAGTCACCACGAGTGCAATGCGCATAAGTCGTTTTTGTAAACGTATCAAGCTTTTTTACATGAGCGCTGAAGTCAAATGTTTTATCTCATTCAACTCAACATACCATCAGCTACAAAACTCCGAATTCTTTTTTTCCTTTTCTTTCCTTTGTTGAAAAAATTCGTTTTTACTGGTATCATAGACAAAGGAGAAGGTCATTTTTCAATAAAATGCTTATTTTTTATTCAAATAAAGAATCGTGATCTCTCACTCTATCAAATGATGTAAAAAAAACGGCAAAAAGTTTTTTTTACTTGAATTTCGCATTACCGGCACCTTATAATAGTATCGGAAATTCTTTGTGAATGGTATTCCGGCACTGCTCTTGACTATTTAATAGATTGTTGGGAAAATAAGAATAAAAATATTAATATAGACCTACATGAAATCCCGCTAAACTTTGTGTCGTAGAATGTTCAAGGCTTTTTGACGAGGAGCTTAGAGGTTTTAGAGCTTATTTGTAAGTCTGGCTCATCTTTTGTATTTGTACGGAAGTAGGAGAGTGGAAAGACTTTAAGATAGTTAATCATAATCCTTTTTACGAACAAGGAACGAATAGCAGTGGAGGGGTAATGTTAGTGTTAGGGCAACATCTCAAAGGAAGTCGGATCCCGTGTGATATACCCAACACAGTTATCGTTGACTTGGTAGGTTTGACTGATAATATCAGGGTGATCGGAATCTACTGGCCTAAGGTTCAAAAATGTGACTTGGATGATCTAGAACCATTTTTAATCAATAACACTATCATCTCTGGGGATTTCGATGCAGCCGTAGAGGAATAAGGTACGCCCTATTCTGATAGTAGAGGTAAAATTTTAAAAGAATGGATAGAGGGAAATGGTCTGGAGTACGTCGAGAACTCTGAAAATTCGTCTAAAAGATCGGAGAGAAATATAGATTTTACCTTTGTAAATTTTGAAGGTATTAAAGGCGAAACATTACGCTTTGGGTCGAGCGATCACTGGCCTAATTCATATAAAATTGAAAGTATAGTGTTTAAGACAGATGGCCTCTTCCCTATAACAACATGGTCTTTATATCAAGTGACTCTATTGTTACTACAGGATTTTTGGAAAGATAAACAAAATGAACAAACAGCGATGGATTGGTATGAGTTGTATATTAAATTTTTGTCCGCACTTAAATCTAAATTGACAAAATATATTACTAGAGATAAATATAAATCGGCTTTACCCCAATATATCTTGGGAAAACTAAAATATATTCGAAAAGTTTGTTAGCGTTACCATTTTGAGGTGGATAGAATTGCTCTTTGAAACTTAACGCGAGATGTTAGAAAGAAAATAGCTCTGTATAAGGCGTCTAGATGGAACTGTTTTTTATCATCTATAAATAATGCTCACAAGCAATCTAAAACAACTTTTTAGTCCTTTCTATCACGAATCTATCGGCCAAAAACGCTACCGATCACTAAATTGCAAATAAAAAATGATATTATTTCAGAAAAAAACTTGATTGTTGATAGGCTTTTTGATTATTATAGAGAACAGTTCCTCCCTAAAGTATCGGGAACGGCGAAGCAGGAGTTTGAGGACACTAAAAT